TTAATTCAGATAAAACTAAATTTTTTTCAGCCAATTGTTATCGCAATAATTCCTATATTTATGAATAGCAATGTACTCGATGAGTCATCTACCTTTCTAGGATTAACTCTAACTTCTGATCTTTCTTGGAAACCATATATCAAGTCCTTTGCAAAATTAGCATCTGCTAAAGTTGCTTCTCTTTATCGAGCTCAACACCTACTTACTCTTGATTCTATTCTTTATCTCTATAAATCTCATATCCGTCCTTGTATGGATTACTGTTGCCATATCTGAAGCAGATCTTCGAATGTTGCTTTTCTCTTTAAGACAAGGTGCAAAAATGAATCGTCGTAATCTTGCTTCTCTTTCTCTTTTCTATAAATACTATAATGGACACTGCTCTAAAGAGCTAGCATCTCTTGTGCCATCTACTAAAATTCATTCTTGTGTTACTTGTCATTCAATTAAGTCTTATTTTTTTTCTGTGACTGTTCCTAAGTGCTCCAAAAACTTTTATTTCTCTAGTTTTTTTTCTAGAACATCAGTTCTTTCGATGTCGCTTCCTTCATTTTGATTTCCTGATTCATAGTTTGCAATCTTTTAAGTTGTCTTTCAATCGCTATCTTGCTCTACAATCTTTATCTTTTCTCTTCCAGTAATTTCCAACTCTAATTAGTGGTTACTTGCATCCTTGTTGGGAGCAAAGATATTTAAAAAAAAAAACAACGTTATTAAAAAAAGACGTTATTAAGATGTATTAATACGTTTTAAATATGTCTCATGTCTACTTGACTGTACAAATTAAGCCTCAGAGAGTGCATTAACAATGAGAACTAAATGTGCATTAGGTAACCTGGTAAATGTAAAGAACTGTTTTCATTTTTTAACAAACTAGATTTTAACCAATTTTGTTTACCGAACTACATTTTAACTTAATAGTTAAAAAAAATCTTCACTGAAAAAATTGTAGAAGGTTTAGGAAAAACTTATTTCTTTTTGGAACAAGATCTACTTTATAGATGATTTAAAAGCAAACGAATTTAAAACTTTTTTAAGATATGGAAAAATTAAAAGAAGTTGTTTATTGCACGAATTTAACTTCATTAATTTTGACAACAAAATTCAACAAAAAAAGTCAATTTAAAAAGTATTTATGTTTGTTCCGACAAACATGTTTATAATAGCTTCAATTAGAAATAAAGAAATCATTACAAAAAAACATGTTAATCATATTTATGAAAAACAGATGACAAATAAAAAATTAAGCTGAATCGCTCGCAAAACTAAAAAAAAAAATTTTTAATAAAAAAGGTAATTCTTTATATAAATTAATGAATAGAAATAAATGTAAATCTCAAAATAAAACTAAAATATTAAGTTCATATGCAATAAAATTATAATTTGTTTACAAAATCTACTAAGCAACTTATGCTATATTATGTTATAAAAAACACTGAATCTAATAAAATAACCATCGAGTATAAATAACAAAATATTTGTTAGCAAGAAATCTATTGAGAAATTTATTGACCCCTTAATTTTTCGTTAATAAACAATTAAAGATCAATGCTACCTCTTGACAATGATAAGTTGTCATGGTTACACAACATATGTTGTCAGTTGTCATGGTTACATATGACAACTTTTTGTTAAAAATGTTACAATTACCGGCACTAAGATCAATATTCAATCTCAATAACAAAGAAGTTTAAGGAGACAGTCTAATTGCACTTAATATGCCATTTCTCATTGAAATCACATTGACTTTTATGAAAATAAACGATTGCACGAAATTGCCTCAAGCCCCTAGTGCAATTACAAATGGGTGCATGAAAGAAGTATGTCTATTTGCATCAATTATAGTCTCGAAGCTGTATTTGTAAGAAAAAATGTATTATATCATTTTGTAAGAAAAAACAATAAAGATACGATATAAAATGAACATTTTAATTAATTTAATGTTGACCTAGTTTATAACAGAGAAAATAAATACAGGTTAATGAAGAATACATTTTTAAAATCTTATTACTAACTTTATTGTTTGAATTTTTAAAATACTATAGCAATTATGTAAGGCTACAGAAATATTGATCATAATTTAACTGTGGTAAGTATAAAATGAAGGAATGCTGTGTATTTTTAAGACTAAGATCTGATCTTAGCAAGCCCTTGCTGAATAGGTTTGAATGGAAATCTGTTTGTGGAACTTGGCTAGAAGCCATTGAAGCAAAGAACTTGTTCGCTTCTTTCAACTAGTTCTTTGCTTCAATGGCTTGAGCTTCTAGCCAAATTATTGAGATAGTAAAAACCAAAGAGGTTAATTTAAAATTATTGTAAGCAGACATTTATAAAAACTCTAGGTAATCATTTTTAGTAGCATTTTTTTCATTGCGTTATAATATCTAGATTTAGGAAATATTCAATAAAACATAATAAAATTTTAGACTGGTAAGAAAAGAGATGACTACCATGAGAGAACAAGAATGATGTCTTTCGTACCTAGTGTACCTAGACCCAAGCTATATCTGCAAATTTAAAAAATCTTTTTTTAAAGATTTATTTTAAATCATTTTTTCAGAGAAAAGAGAATAGTTGTAAATAATTAAGGAAAGTTATAAAAGGTAAATTATTATAGTAATTTAAGACAAAAAAAAGGACATGCCACTTGGTGTTATAAACTGTCAAGCTCTAAAAATATGTGTTTAGTCATTGGACTTGCCTTTCACTGAGTCCAAGTAATAAAATGAAAAGCCATATCCTCTCATTGGGTGAGCAGGTCTTTAAGCATTCTTCCATTGGGTGAGCAGCATTTTCAAATGTTGTAAACTCTCTCTGAAACTAATGATTAAATAAAAATAATAATAACAAAACGAGTAATTAAATATATACTTTTCAAATAAAAAATCAATTTGACACAAGTAGCAATCTAATACCAGCGTTTTTTAGTATAGATAGGTGTTTAGTAAAATGGTATAAACTACAAATGTAAAATACAGCACTGTTTTACATCAAATCCTAAGTGTCAAACAAGGAAAATTTCTGAATGTCATAAAAAGGTGGTTTTGAAAATAAAGTTCAGTTTCTTTGCAATGCTCTTGTTTTTTCAAGCATAATTTTTTTTGCTTATATCATCAAACAATAACTCAATTATAAAGTTTCGTTCTTCAATTAAAAAAGCAACTAAAAATAATACTCTAACAACATTTCTTGGAAATATAAGTGTGACTTGCAGTTTTTATTATGCTTACCTCCAGCATCAAATGTTGCTGAGGAAAGTGATTACCATTTTTGTATGACTTAAGCACAAACACCATCAAACCTGCCATATATTTTTAAACACTCCTTATTATGGCCATGAGATGTTATTTACGATTTACAATAACTTACTTATAAGTGCAATACTAATTTACCTAAATATTTAATTGATCTAAAGATCAATTGAATGTAATTTTATACATTTAAAATTTGCTAGTCAGATTTAGATAACAAAGTTAAATAACTTACATAGCCTAAAGGTCATAGCCTAGAGGTCCATCAAAGTGTAGTTTAAGAAAAGCTTTTAAAATAGACGTTGCTAAATTTCTTTTTGTTGCTTTTGATGGATACCTAAAGTTAATAGTTTAATAAAATAAAAAGTTTTTAAAAGTCTGATATGATATTTTGAATATTCATTAATTAATATTTGAGTTTTATATAAAAGTTATTCAGTTAGTTACAATAAAAAAGATTCATCCTTTACTAAAAAGACACATCACTTAACAACACAGTGACATCCTTAAAAAAAGTACATAAAACATTTTCCGCTGATAATGATAAGCTATTAAGCTTCAGTCTAATGATAGACTGAAACTTAATAGCTTGACTTGGAATTTTTATTCCAATACAATGAAATAAAACTGAGTTCATTTGCAAAAATGTATCTTCATCAAATTCACCTTTAAATCATAAATATAACACTTTGAAAATGTTATACTTGTGGGTTGCCAAATGTCCGGTTTTTACGGAGGAGATTACAATGCCAAATCTGTAAAAATATTTTTTTTTTACTGTGTTCTCTTTCGTAAAAGCCGTAGGTCTATCTATAGTTATACTTATGACAGTGATATATTTAAGTATTTAAATTTATCTTGTGTTTTATAGTTCAAAACAAACGTTATATATAAAAAAATACCTTTTCTATATAACTTTTTAAGGGGGGAGGGGCCACGTGCTTCTCTGCCCCTTCCCCCTCCCCATCCCCGATGTCGTCGCCCCTATATATATATATGTGTGTGTGTGTGTGTGTATATATATATATATATATATATATATATATATATATATATATATATATATATATATATATATATATATATATATATATATATATCGAGTAATATTCAAAAATTTAGCAGTACCTTTAACTAAAATTTCTTTTAAAATTAAACGATCGATTCTTGTGTATTTAAATTTTAAAAATTACTTAGCACATTTTTTTAAATAGTGCAAAGTTAACGTTAAAAGTGCGGTTCAGTTGCACTTAAGATTTTTATTTAACTCGCTAGTCAGGCTAAGGATATCTTTGGCATGTAACATTCGAATTTCAGTTGCTTTGCCTGAAGTTTCCAGCGTAAATAATTGCCCGAACAGTTCATGAAAATTTTTTCGGAACTTTGTTAAGAGCCTTTGACCGCAAGCCACACTAAAATTAAATTATTTTCTTCGTGATCTGTAAAAAAATTTATTTTCGGTGATTATTTTCTGTTAAGTTACATAACAAAAGTTTCGTTCTTGCGTTTTTCACTTGAACTCTTACGCTTTTACTCGCTCTTATGTTTTTCATTCTAAACCTTGCACTATGCTTTCTTTTAATATCAAATTATAAAAATATGTTCACGATTTTCAATAACTATGATTTTTTGAAAATATGCAAAACAAAAATCTTATCATGGCTTCTTTTGTAAAATTGGTAATTGCAAAAAGAATATTTCTATTTTAAATTATTTTTTGGAACTTATGTTAAATTTTATTGTTTTAAGCTTCTTCCTACACAAGTTGGCATTGAGTTTTTCAAAGAAAACTCTCCTACAACAGAAATTCATATTTTGAAAGACGCCGGACACGCTATCATCGATACAGATGCCGATGAAGTGTATCGCTTATTGCAAAGTTGGTTTGAAAGGAATTCTACCATATAAATTAAAATAAAAGAATTTACTAGTATGTTTATTATTGTATATCTTAGATGATTCAAACAATTTTTACATTGAAGGAAAGGTTTGAGTTATGCGAGAAGTAATTTACGCAGTTTTACAATTATTAATTAGTGATTTTTAAACAAGGCCAGGCGGTTGAGATGAAAATAAATAAATTTATGTTTTCAAAGCAAATAACGTGAAAAGTGAACAACCTCTACAAATGCCTTCGAATTAATGAAATGAACTTTTAACTTTTAATAGATTTTACAATTAAAATAGACTAGAATTTTATATTTTTTCAACTTTTTTTTTTTGTATTTGAATTATTTGAGCATTAAAAAATATTTTTAATTTTAAAAAAAACTCCCTTCAAAGCGAAGGCGAAGAGTGTTTTTAATAAATGAATACCGAATAGTCCCTGTGTAACTTCAGTACCAAAGTTGAACGAATTTTTGTCGTAACGGAATACTGAATATTACTACTCTTTTAAATTTAGTAAATTAAGTTTAATGTATACGCAAATTTATCTTCAGCCGAAACTCATAACATTTTTTGCTGCTACTTCTAAAATTAATAAATATTACTAAATACTGACATTAGTATATTTTTTGAAAGATAAAAAATAGATAACATACAGAAATAAATTTCTTTCAACAATGATTTCATAATTTAGATTACTGCGAAAATTGGCACTTAATTATTTTTGAAATGCATTGTGTTTCCGTCATATTTTCAATTTATGCTCCACACGTGAATATATTTAAGCTATGTAGACCAGCTTCTCAGCGTTTGTTTTATTGAGATTTGATCTTTTTTTAAGTGACTACTTGGCCAGCTCTAGAAAAAAAAGTCCCTCAGATGACGCTGATGATCCATGAAAGAAAAACATTTTTCATTTGGTCACAGCAGGGCCGTCCCGAAGAGATTTTAAAGGAAGTGGGGCGTGTCTTTTTTTTGCCGACTAAAACCAAAAAAAATTTTTTGCCCACTAACTTATCTTTAAAAATAAAAAGGTCCTCGTTTTCCGATATTTGCCAACTATAAATCCAATTTTGCCCACTCTAGTGTCTAATTTGCCGACTAAAAAAATTCGTAGGGTGGTTATACTCCCTCCCTCCCCCAATAAGAATGTAGTCGAATTTGATTTATTTAAGGTCTGTGCCACCACAAGATTTGGCTTGAAATGCTCCGGTGGCTAAGGCTTAAGGGGCAACTACCCTCAAATTTCGAAACAACACATATAAAGTAACTTTTTCTTTAGTCATATAGTAAATATTATACTGACATTAAAAATACCAAAAAATACATAAAATGGTAGCTCGTTGCTATGGCAACTCAAAAAAATAGCTAGAAAACCCACAAAAACTGTGTTTACGCCGTAAAAAAAATAAGAATTATGAGTAAAGGAGTGTCAATGAAATTTTGTAGAACTGTTCTAAATATGTAAATTTGTGATATGAGCGAAGCAGATTTTTAAATAAAAATTTTTTTTGATAAAAAGCTACAGTCAAATTAGATTATTAAAAAAAAGGTCAAAATTCAAAGAATAAAACTAAAAAACTCAAAATCTTAAGTCATATGAGAAATTCTACTCCGCTCATATCATAAACATTGGTAAAATGAACGATCCCTGAAAATTTCATCATGATAGCATGTATACTTTTCAAGATTTTTTTCCCGGCGTGTTTAAAAATTAAATTCTCAGAAAACACAAAACAAAAATTAAAATCATAAATTATTGTTCATTTCATAAAAATATCTTTAAAAAAATAGCTTTTTAAAAGAATATTTCAAAAACTACCAGATTCATAATATTCCTTGGACTTTTCTATTGACTTTTGATGATCATTTGATAATCGTTGACGTCGTAACATCTTTCGTTTCATCTTAAAACTTTCACTCGATTTAAATAATGATAGTTTTATTCGTTTTTTGTTTATGAGTCTGCAACCAGCTAAAGTAAAATGCCCTGGTTTCATATTTAGTTTTTCATAAATTAAAATGACAGACTTCATACCGATGTTATAATTTGCAACAGCATCGTACACTCCAAACTCTAAACTGGCTAAACCAACATAATTACTTTTTGGTAATCTATCCCATATTAAATTATTAAAACTCTCGTTGCAATTCTGGGTTTTGCCATGAAGACACTTTACTAATTCAGAATCTTTACTTAAATCAACATATATTGGCTTGATTTTGTGAATAATATCCACAGGAATTCCTGGTCCAGGTTTGTATATGGAAGTAGACTTTGCTTTATCAATGTTAAACTTACACCAACTATCACCTCCAGTCGGGCAGTAAATATGATAGTTATTTTCCTTAGAAGAAGCTACATGGAAAAGGCTAGCTAATACTGCTTGTTTCATTTTATTCAGATCATTTGTATTGCTCCGGATAGCTACACCAAAACAATTTTGCAAGCGATCAATAACTGCATTGGTTAGTCGACCACGACCACCTAGACCCTTAACATTTTTTTTTAACTTGCGTAAGCAAGTACCAACTCGTTTTTGGTAATGTCCTACACACTCCAACTTTTTTACCTCCATATTTGGGTATATATCTTTGATAGAAAGATGGGATTTACTATCCCCATCACCAAGAAATTGAGTATATCTTAACTTATGTTTTTCGATGGAGCGTTTAAAAACTCTCACTGCTATAACTGATTCCATACCACCAGCTGTACCTTGATAATTGTACAGGCAAATATGTTTGTTTTTCCAATTAGCATATGCATCAGGATTTGATTTTTTTAATTGTTCTTTCATACAGCAAGCTTTACATGATTTATTCATAGGTTCAACATCAATTATTTTTCCACTATCTATTAAAATTGCGGTAAAAACTCCATTCATTGACTGATATCCTCTTTTCTGCCATGATCCATCGCATGATACACCAACATCAACAATGTCCTCACTAGTTGCATTTTCTTTCATTTCAGTTGCAGCATCTGACATTGTTTCGTTTGCAACACTTTTCACGATGTTTTTTATTTTAGTTGTAATTTTTGAATAGTTTTTGGGTGTCATGGGTTTTGGCATATTCATGAGCTGAGTAAACTTTTCAATGCCAGAATGACCATGGCCTAAGACTCTCATTGCATATATTGTCCTGTTGTTAATATCAAACCCTTTATCACAAGCAACTGATGTATAAAATTCATGTTTATAGTCACAAGATAGTGTAGTACACTTTGAATATAGCAACGTTGCTAGACCTTTCTTTTTTTTCTGATGATCACCTAAGTACAGTGCACACTTTTCACATTGAGGACATATTAACAATGAAAGAACTTTAGATAAAATTTCAGTGTCTATAATTCTGTAACCAGTAATTCTTATAATGTTTTTACTTGGTACATTTGTAACAACTTTTACTTTTTTAGCTGATGCGCCCAAAATATTTCTTTCAATAGAGTCACATTCACTTACATTACATGCATTTTTATTTTTCTTCACCATAAATCCTCTTCTTTTTTTATAGTAATTTGTTCTCTGCTTTACTCTATCATTAATATTTTTGTTCAAAATAACACCCAAATCAGTAGGTTTTGTCATATTTTTTAATTTCTGCTGTTATATAAATTAGCTTTGATAACTTGATAAAATCGTATTAAAGTAGCAATTGTAAATGGCATATAATAAGGAACAGAATATTAATTAGCAAAGAAGATATAAATCAAAGCATATATTTGAAACAGTACTCCAGGATATGTTCACAAATAAAATATTCGCCCCCATAGCAACGCGTTGCTATGCAAATATTTTTTACTTGAGTTCAAAAAAACATAAATTAAACAAAAATTTATAAAAAAATGTTTGATTTTTTTTGCAGATTCAAAATCTGCATAAAATTTTGGTCTAAAATTATTAAAAAAAAAAAATCAAATTTATAAAAAAATGTGAGGGTAGTTGCCCCTTAAGTAATTGTGCAGAAACCAGCACTTTTAGCTTTTTTTTCTAAATTAGACAACTAGTTTTCAGGAGCTCATTTCAGGGTTAGGGTTAGTAACCCTAACCCTGACGGCCTCAAATTGTTTTATAATAACTGGATGTTTTTCTTTAAGATGTGTATAAAGTAATGATTTAAAGTTGAGCGCTGTTGTGTATAGAGCAAATTAAACAGCACAGTAAAATAAAAAAAAGCGCACTAAAAAATCTAAATCTTTTTTATACTGAAGCTAGATTGAAACCTATTTTTGGATTTTTGAAGAACCATATATAGAAATCAATTTTTTTTTTCGAAGAACACCATCTTCAAATCATGATTAGACATCATTTTTTAGTAAACTACATCAAAAATTTTTATTAATAACTTTTAATGTTGTCTAAGGAGCACTAATTTGAGTTATATATATATATATATATATATATATATATATATATATATATATATATATATATACATACATATATATATATATATATATATATATATATATATATATATATATATATATATATATATATATATGTGTATATATATATATATATATATATATATATATATATAAATACATACATATATATATATATATATATATATATATATATATATATATATATATATATATATATATATATATATATATATATATATATATAACTATATATAACTATATATATATATATAGTTTTCTAAATTGAATATATGATATTCAAAATCATAGCATGATGAAATGAAATTATGTTTATGGGAGATTTTAAAGCAAAAGCTTAATTGAAAATTATCCAAAATTTTTTATTCTTTATATTAAAGATTCATTATCCTACAAAAACGACATGTTTATTTAATAAAAGTTCGATGTGCAATCCTTCAAAACTGCTATGCTGCGTTATCTACTAGTTTTGATTAAAAATATAGTTTCATTCCATCTTTAATGATCATCTAAAGGAAATTATTGCAATATGACTCCAGAATAATGAATCCAGAAACATAGTCAGACTTATAATCTATACTAATTTTCATTTTAAAGGTATTTATTTTTGTATAAGCATTAGGCTCTTAATGACACAA